AAATTTTCATATTAAATTTTCGGATAAGACTTTCGATTGCCACATGTCCATATTTATTATAAAATTCACATCTCAAATTTCAGATAAAATTTTCGCATAAAGATTTTCGGTTGCCGCATCATACAATTGAATACCTACTCACTCATGGTCCTCATAGTCCGACACAATCGAGTACAAGGACGACTCGATCATTGGCGGAGGCGGTTCCACTGGATCACGACGTGGGGGAGTATTTTCCTTCGGAGGACATAATAGTGCCATTATTTCCGACATGGAACGCACCAAGGGAACCGATTGCAGACATTGTTCACTTGAGGAGCCATGTGTAATGGTTTTCCTTTTTTTTGTTTTACCTTGAATAATCTATTTAAAAAATTAAATTGGAAATGCAAGAAAATATAAAAAAGAATGGCATTAAATTGAATAAAACAACAATTAATTTTTTACCTCGTCACCAAGATTTTGACCTCTTCGATCGTTTGTCCACGACCCTCCAGCTTTGATGGAAGATGCCATAAGATGGTGAATAAAAATGAAAATTGAAAGTGAAGAAAATTTTGTGTAGAAAGTGAATAATATTAGAAGGAGAAGAAAATGTATGAGGATCTGGTGTTGAGAGTGAACAACATTGGTAGGTATTTATAGGAAAAAATTTCAGATTTTTTTCAGATTTTTTAAGCCAAAAAAAGAAGGGTAGCCATTGGATTTGAGGAAAAAAAATTATCGGAGCGACCAAAACGTGCCACGTGGTGTGTTACCGTTGGCTGAAACCAAGGCTAACGCCAGCCTGGCGTCAACGCATGTAATTTCAGAAAAAAAATTAACATGGGCATGAACATTAAAAAAAAAAATTGAATCCAAGTGCTGGCGCCAGCCATGACGTCAGCAGCCCTCGGGCTGGAGCATGGGCTCATCTCACCCTCGAGCTGGCTCGATTACGTTGGACCTGCAGCTTGCTCGGGCATGCTTGACCCCCTGGAACGCGTCGCCTGGGCTTGGGCCCTGTCCTGCCCTGGCTTGGGGCAACTACTGGAAACGCTCTAAGGGCACGTTTGTTACACCTTCTTAGCTTGGATTTGACTGGACAAATTTGTATCCCTTGTTTGTTTTCACTTGGTTCTAGTTTTAAGTGGGACTATTACTACTGGCCCCACCAAAAAAAAAATTTAGTCCTAGTCCAATCAAACCTACACCAAACGCAATATAAGTGTTATCCAACTTATGCCAGGCCAAGCTGAGGCAGTTCCTGCCTTTAAAAGACTCAATAAAAGTCCCCACAAGGAGCTCATTCTCAACCCAAAAACCTTGAGGATTTCTAATTTTGAGGATTTGGTTTCTTCTTCTTTTTCTTCTTCTTCTTCTTAGAAGAGCTTGAGTATGGAAGAATTTGGTATTTTTATCACCTAACTAAAGCGTGCTCTGGCTCATTGAGAAAATAAGATTTCTTCCTGCTCAAGAAGGGTTCACAATTCTTGGTTAAGATAGTTGTCTCTCTCAAGTAAGGAGAAAAAGGTTAGTCCTAGTTGAGATTGGATGAGAGAGAGCTCCTCCTGGGCAGCTTTGAGTTTGGAAAACAAGTTTCCAAAAGTGTCCGGTTCCACTTTTGGAGCACATGTTTGAGAGCTATACAGCTGCTATTAAACTTTTGAGCTGAATTTCCAAAGTAGTCTTGGTGCCACACTTGTTTAATAATGTTAGTAAAGTCAGGGTGAGAAAACCACATAGCTTCAATTTTGAAGGATTGTCTAGTTGTTTGCAGAGAGGAGCACATGTTAGACAAATGGGACCATGGTCCGATCGTTGGATAGGTAGGTTCTCTAGCTTAAGGTTGGGATAAAGATGAATCCAGGAGGGGTTAGCTAAGGCACGGTCAAGTCTTTCAAAGATAACAGAGTAGTCTTTATGGCCATTAGACCATGTGTAGGGAACTCCTACAGCATTAAGTGAACAAGTACCACAATCACTGATGAATATTAGTTAAACCTAGACATGGAAGGATATGGAAACTGGATACCACCTGCTTTTTCAGTGAGACTACAAATATTATTAAAGTCTCCCATGAGTAACCAAGGCAAGGAACTATTATGTTTAAGGTTTAAAATATCCTGCCACAGGCTAAGTTGCTTCTCTTTTTTAGGGTAAGCATAAGCATAGACAAAGGTAACATACCAGCTTTTCTTACCAAGCACATCTTTAATAAAGCAGTGAATGAAACGGTCATGATAAAGCAAAATAGAACAATTCATAACCAAAGGATTCCAAAACAACAAAAGACCCCCACACTGTAGGAACAAAGAAATTGTTTTGGAGAGGAACACTACGAGCTAATGACTCAGCTCTCCTAGCAGAGGCTCTTGCTCCAAAATACAACCTAAATCTAAATGCAAAGACTGAATAAGAAAAACAACTTGAGTAGCAAAACCCAACCAGGACCTCCCCCGCTATTCCAACATAAAAGCTTCATAATTGCAACTGCTCATTCTACCATTCCTGTTTTGCAACCTTTTGAAATGTATTATTTTATTTAGACAACTTTTCTATGAGGCAAAAAAACTTATTTGTAACAGGGATAGCACTATTTTGCTATCCCTTGTAACACCCCGACCCAATTTAATCGTCTTATTCAATTTATTTTATTTGCGCAATTACATTTTTACCCTCGGGAGTAGGGGCACTTTAGTCACTTTTTGTTTTGGAAGGATTTTGGGGAATTGACTGGCACCTTTGCGTAGAGCTCGCTCTCACGAGTTCGTAGACACGTAGTGTGTTCAATTCGGAGTTAAAACAAAGAAGTTATAATCTACGGAAGTGCAGTGGCACAATCATAAATTTTGCAAAGTCGGATTTTTAAAAATCTCTCTCTCTCTCTCTCTCTCTCTCCCTCCTTCACTTTTCTACATTGTGTAGGTTTTTTTGTTCAACAGAAAAAGAAAAAGAAAAAGGTACACTATCCTCAACCCCAAGAATGCCTAGAATGAAATTCGCCATCAACACCAACAGTAGTCACGTCATCGTGCTTACGCAGTAGACTACTTAATTACGGTTATGCAAGCTTTGACTTTTATATATAACTGACCAGATCTTTCTTTAGACATCTTGTAACTTACATTATTTCTATTTTTTTTTATTAAAATACTCACGAGTTTTGTGTTTTGATTTATTTATGTTAATGGCTCATTAAGTTCATGTTTAGGACAGCAGAGCGAAATCTCGCTAAAAGATTTGTTCATGATGCCATAACATTGCTTGGATCAAAGTCTAGCGGAAAATCTCTCTCTCTCTCTCTCTCTCTCTCTCTCTCTCTCTCTCTCTCTCTCCCCTTTGCGAAAGCAGACCGGCCTCTTTGGCCGGCGTTTTCTCCTCCGTCTTCCCACGGCCGGCGACGCTACAACCCACAAAACGTTCGTCTCTTCCTCCTCTACACGTCCATACCCATTTCCACCCTCGTTCCTCCTCTACACGTCCAACCCACTGAAACCGATCCAAAACCCTCGTTCATCTCCGGCGGCGTTTGTGCGATTTCCGGCGATTCCGGTAGCCAAAATCGTCGAACCAGATATGAAACTTCATTCTCTCATTGCGCTCTACCTGTCTATGTGGTTGGTTTGGGATAATTTTGAGGTTTTAGAGATCGATTTCTAACCCTCAATTATGCCAACGGTTTCGGCTTTGATCCGGCTAGTTCCTGTCAGTTTTTTGCCATGGTCCAAGAACAAAAGTTGATCCCCTAGGTAGTCTAATTCTAATGGTATGGGTATTGACAAGTGATTTGGAGTTTTCCGGTCATCGAAAATTACTCAAGGCACTCACACTCTGTCGGCGGCAGGTGGCGGCGCGTGGACCACTTTGTGGCAGCCCATTGGGTTCTAAAATGTTCTCCTTGTCGTCCTAAGTTCGACGGTATGCTCGGATTTGGAATTGGTTACCGTTTGACAGTCGATCAGATATTGCACCCAATATGCAATATTAAGGTTCGATAGGTTCAGACAGTTCGATCGGTCCCAACTTCAAATATGTTGTTTCTCGTATCTCTAGGATCGAGTGGGAACTTGTGGATTGAGAATTGGAGTCCTGGATACTCTGAGTCAATGAATTTGGGGTTCGGTAAACCGGTTACCGTCCGATCATGCGATCGAGAGCGATCCGACCCCTTGATCGAGACTAAACCCTCGGGATTTGATTAGTAGACATTATTGGACCTATAGGAACCTCCCCTGTTATTGATACTTGATATATTGACACGCGGTATCTCTTCGGAGGTGTGTCAGGATACCGGGCACCCTTGACCAGGTGTACCGAAGGCCTTAACCAGCAGTCTGCGTGCGTAGGAGGGATATTCAGTAGGAATAGTCCTCCGGTTGGACTGCTCATTCCCTAGCCACATGAGTATTGAGGATTCTGCCATGTGGTCTAGTTAAAACGATCCCCGTGTTGGATTTTTTTCCCCTGGTACATGATGACACTACTACAAAAATTGAAATAGACGACGGGGAAACACCGTCGTCTTTTTCTTTTTCAAACCGTCGTTAAATCGACAGTCGTCTTTTTAAATGTCAAACTACGACGGTAATTAACCGTCGTCTATTACATGTAAAGACGACGGTTTTTAAAATAACCGTCGTCTATTAGTTGTAAAGACGACGGTTTTTATGAAAGAACCGTCGTCTATTATATGTAAAGACGACGGTTCTTTTAAAACCGTCGTCTATAGATATCTATAGACGACGGTTTTGTTGAAAAACGTCGTGTATTAACTGAAAAGACGACGATTTTAAAAAAAAATCGTCATCTATTATCCCTAAAGATGACTGTTTGTTAAAATACAGTCGTCTATCAACTATAAAGATGACGGTTTCGTTGAAACTATCGTCATGTATTTATTGCAAAACTGAATTTTTTTTTTTTTCAGATGGTTGAGATATGCATGACCTGAAATTGACAATTAAATAAGCCAAACCAAGTGCTTGTTAAATTATAGGTTGAATGGGTTTGAAATTCTAGCAACAGAGGTAAGCATAAACTATTGCAAATTGCTATTTGAAGTGCAGTTACTTGTTCAAACAGAATGCTATCTATACAATCTAAAGTGGAATTACCCGTTCAAACGGATGTTAGTGAAAAACTTTCTTGCAGCAGCCCTAGTGAACATCTTAAAACCACACTGCGATGCTGAAGAATACCATGTCATGATAACAGTTAAGTGCCTTCACTTAAGATTTGGTACACTATGCAGAAAATTGCAAAACATATATTGATAGAATTGGATCATGAACAAATTATCCCAAGACCTTCACTTTATATTTATAAAACGCAAATCACCCATTAAACTTATCACAACATGTCAAAGAGAAAGAGGAACTCTAATTTCAGGTAAAATACAGCCGCACAAATTAAGAAAAAATAAAAAGTAAAATAAATGATTCTTAGCACGCAATACCTAAATATTTGGCAAACAAATGCAACCCTTAGCACCACAAAGTCAAGAAAGGAAAGTACCAGTGTTAGTGTAAAAAAAGAGAGGGGTGGGGGGGAAATCACATCAAAAAGTGCAATAATCTCAGTAATGACAGTAATCTCAGCAATATGGTTCACTTATCTTATCCATTTCTAACACGCTAGACATGATCATCAACATTGGTACAATACTCATTCTAATTGGATAACAACTTCACAATACTAAGCACTGAATTATTGTGGTTTATACACCAAAATGCAGAAATCAAGCGGAATTTACTTCTGAAGCAGTAACTAAGGAAAAGCTTACACACCTAGCTGCAACTAAGGAAAGCAGACATGAAAATCCAAACCATATTTCATGAGCTCAACCACCACCCAAGCATTGGCCAATACTCAACCAATTAAACCAAAGCATTTGATAAAGTAGCAATTTTAAAGCGAAAACCAAACGGAACTACAGCATTGAAAAAGAATTATATCAGATAGTATTCTAAGACAAAACTACAACACTGAAGCATAAAAATGAACATCAATGTCAAGTTGTCAGAGAAGAATCAGAAAAGGAAAAATCTCAGACAAGAAAGCTAATAATCCATTGTTGTGTTGCACAGATATGTTACAAGATATGCAAAACAATACGACGATATGACAAAAGATTAGCATATACAGGGATAAGACAATAAAGAAATATATAGTTAAATATTAATTGTTTATTTTTTCTTTAACATTTGAAACTAGCACTCAGATCTCGCTTTTATAGAAACAATTCCAAACAATCCATTTTTTTCCAAAAAATATTACCCTCTCCCCTTTGTTCTTGGAAAAGAAAATACAAAATAACCCCTCATGTATCCCTTGCATATCCATCATGTATCCATGTAGTCAACTAAATACGAATTCTGAGTATCTGATGCATTTTGAGACATACCGTGGATCAAGAAAGAGAACCAAAAACAAAAAAACAGAGAGAGAGAGAGATCAACTGAGATTAAAATATACATGATATAGCTGCAGTATTAGCAAGACTCAACTAAGATTATCTGAACCCCACCTTAAAATTCACGAACCACAAACCATCTCTCATCTCTGTTCGAGAAATTAAAGCCTGAGACTGAGAAAGGGGACTGACCAGAGTTCTTATGAAAGAAATGCACTCCAGAAAATAAAAATCTATATGAATAGACAACCAGCATAATCCAAACAGAGCAACAACTCATAATCAAATTGAAACAATATAATAGGTAAATCATAAAGAACATAAAAAAGAAAAGAAATTTCAGACCAACTGTTGCAGAGGCCTTCGCGGCTTTGGAGGTTTTGTTGCAGAAGGAGCAAGCTTAGGGTTTCGGTGGGTTTGATCTGAAAGAGATGGAGATCGATGAGAAAGTACAAGTAAAAGGATACTAGGGATTTGAAATAGAAAAAGGCCCAAATCTCTTATTGAAAATCACTTACCACGACGGCCCGACGAGATGGCGAGCTCAGAAACCTTGAGTAAAGTCGCAGTGGAGAGCAGACGACGTTATCGATCACGACCTGCAAAGCAAAAGAAGCGAATGGTCAAGAGAGAGACGCATAGCAGAAAGAGAAAGACAGATGAAGAGAGAGATCTGTGACGACGAGGGAGGAAGAGAGAGATCTGTGACGACGAGGGAGGAAGAGAGAGATCTGTGACGACGAGGGAGGAAGAGAGATGAGGAAAATTCAGAGTTCGTTCAAGAGAGTTGAGAGAGCGCTGCGAGAAGTAGAGGAGGGAATGTTTTCAAGTTGGGAGGAAATCTGAAAATTAGGTCGAGAGCGAACGCACTTAAGTTGTAATTTACAAACGTCGTCTTTTAAAACACAACTCTATTTTAGTGATGTCTAAAATGGTATATCACGACGCTTTTGTAAAACCGTCATCTTTTAAAATACAACGACGGTTTTAAACTACACGGTCGTCTATTTTGTGTCGTGGTTTTACAGTTTTGTAGTAGTGTGATGGTGTGGGTTGTGTAATATAGATATATACATATATAGATAGTGGGTACAAGATTAGGAGAAGGAAAGGATGGGTGTCATATGTGATATAAATTGGGTTATGGGGATAGTGCGAATTGATCCTTGATTGATATTGAATGACGTTACTGTCTGTACGAGCCTAGAATTCGAATATGGTTGTGGAAAAAGGTATGTTTGGATATTGGTATTGGATTATTTATATATCGAATATTATTATAAATGTCTTACGCGTTCATTTGAGTTTATTTTATTTATTAAGTAAATGAATAATGTATATTGGTTTATTGGAAATTTGGTTGTGGGCTGAGTTTTTATTATATAATTATATAACCTTGTTTTTTGGGATTTGGGATAGTGGTTTTGGTTCCAGCCGCACGAGCGTTGGGAATTCCATCGTGTGTGTCTGGGGATTTAGTTTCAGCTGCACGGGCGTCGAGGATTCCGTCATGAAATGTGTATATGTAAAGATAAAGGTATAATGGGAACAACGGTGGGAGAAAATCAGTATGAGTTTTATATTGTTATTTACAGTGGGATTTTTTGGAGTATCTGCAATGAGACTACTTTGCACAAGCATTAGTATCTTTAAGTAAGATTTCATTTTGAAACTTGGTTTAGACTGATTTATTGGATTGTATGCGAATAATATCATTACTGGAAGAACTACGTGTGGTTTGATACCTCAGTAAGGTGCAGCCACGGAATAAATTGTGTGAGTTGTGCTTGAATTGCATCAAAATATATCATTGAATTTGTTAATGGTTACGGAGTCTTAAACTCGAAGTAGTTTGCGAATAAGGTTTAGAATTCTTTTTGTTTTGGTGGGCCCGAAGCCCGATTGAGATTTGAATTATATATGTATAACAAAGCCTGAGCCACTTTAAAATTTCTTTTGACAGTGGTTAGAGTGTAGACCATGCACTCAGGAAGTTGGTGAATTTGTTATGGATATATGCGAGTGTAAATTTTGGAATTATCTGTTTTTCAGGGAAGACTCTTCCGAAATTTCGGTAGAAGTCTTAACCCTTTTATGCTTTTAAGGCGGGAAAAGGGGTTTAAATTAGTAAATGTGCCTGGCATCCTATGAGTGTTGGCAGAGAAGTAGGATTTGACACGGATTCCAAGGAGAATTCGAGTCGGGTCCTATCATCCCCGACTAATAAGACAATGACACATGGCCCACGTGGCAATGAGTTATTGACTGGAATGACCAAAAATGTTATCTCCGTTGCATAGGAGTGTTCCTCAAACCAAGGCTTGCTATCACACGCCTGCTATTATAAAATAATAAATTTTATGGCAATTCAATTGAAAGGCCATGTACCAAACCGTAACGTAACTTTTGTTTAATTTTTAATTTTCTAACAGATGAAAAATTAGAAAGAAAAAAAATCACGATAAACAAACAGTAAAGCATAACTATTTTTCTGGCATGGGTTCAACGATTGGATGTAAACTAAACTTGCTGGGTGGTATCTTCTATTGTTTTTCTTGGTGATTTTATTTTCTTTTTCCAGAAAATAAACAATTAAGACAAAAGTAACGTGACAGATGACATGGCTTGCCAAGACAAATAACAAATCAAAACGTGATTCATGTCTTATTGGCTGATCCTTATAACAAGTTTAATTTATTTTATGCTTCTTTTAACTTGTTATTCTACTTTTGCTTTATTACTTTTTCTTTATTAAATTTTATTACTCTTGGCTAGTACGAAATACTTTGTTACTTGATTAAGCAAGGTATGTGATGCTAAAGAAAAAACAAAGCAAGGTGATATTGGGATTGATATCAAATACTATATATAGATGTGCTGGGAGATCGCCCGGTTATAAAAAAGAAACCAGTGCATTGAGTAGAAAATTTATATAGCTAGAGATGACAAGAGGAGAGGCGCCGAGTGTGGCGAAAAAGCCATATCAATGGGCCATGGACGGCAAGTGGATTGCCCTAAAATACTTCTACGAGGATAATCCGATGGAAATAGTTTCCCCAATGACAATGAACAACGACACTGCACTTCACGTCGTAGCCTCCAACCGCTACAGCGACCTGCTTAAGCATTTGATTTTGCTGATAAAAGACAATGCACCTGAGATGTTAAGACGTGCTTTGAAGATAGAGAACAACGATGGCAACACCCCTCTTCATGAGGCGGCTGCGTCTGGAAATCTGGACGCAGCAAAGCTCTTGGTGGACGAGGATAAGATACTTTCCGGTCAGTCTTCTTTTAGCAGTCTAGTAGAGATTCGAAACCAGTTAGGAGAGAGCCCACTCTACAGGGCCACTGCTTTCGGTCACACAAACTTGGTCAAATATTTGGCTTCCCAAGTGAAGCCGCAGCAGCAGGATATAGAGCAGCAGCAGCTGGAGTTGGCTATAGAGTACCACTTCAACAGAAACCATGATAACATATCCATTCTTCAGATCGCAGTCATTAGCCAACATTTTGGTCTCTCTCTCTCTCTCTCTCTCCCCTCTTTTACAATTGCATTATTAGTTATATATGTTAGTTATCTATGAAATATAGCTGTGAACTAAGATTAATTCTTGTCTGAAAATATATAACCTTGCCAAATAAAATTAGTCTAATATTTTATTTTATTTTTACTTTATTATTACTAACACTGTTTTCCTTCAATGCAGAGACTGCTCTATGGTTACTAAAAAAGTACCCAGATCTTGCGAATAGAAAGGAAAGCAATGGACTCACAAGTCTTCAATTGCTAGCCCAAATGCCATCTGCCTTCGAACCCAAATTTCGCCAAAGCAAATGGAAGAAGCTCATTTATAAATGTACCATCTACTCTACTGCTCATACACTACTACTAAAATTAGATACAATTAAACTCAAAAATTCAATTTAGATGTGTCTTACTGATGAGTCAACCTATTTATGTTATTAGGGGAAGCAACCCATTAAATTCCTAAATTTTTGCTTATTATGTGATCCCTGGATAGATAATATTCTTTTATAATCTCTTTCTTCTTTAAAAAGAAAAAAAAAATTCACCTGCTGGGTTTTGTTTTTGTTTTGTTTTTTTCTTAGTTTATTTTAGCTGGACAACAGTTCAAACAAGTAAAGCTATAGATGGTAATTTTCTGTTTCTTCAAAGGATAACCTGGACTACAACCATTGGTATTAATGATCTCGCAAGCCAAGCTTGTGGAGCAAGAAGGAATAGTGTACCCTTTATTTATGCAAGCCTTAACTTCTGATGATGATAATGCTGATCTTTAAATTTAATTGTGCTCCCCTTTTTATACATTCAGATTCAGGCCTTTTTGATGATGACAACTGTGACTCGGAGAGGAGATCGAATCAGTCACCAAATCAAAACGATGACTTGGAGAGCGGATCCAATCAGCCACCAAATCAAAACGATGAAGACTTGGACAGAAGATCCAATCAACCTCGCCAATCTAGTTCTTCAAAGAAGATTACGAGTAATTAATCAAACTTTCAAAGTGGGCCATATATATATATATATGTTTGTCTGTGTCTATATATATATATAGAATGTCATCCTTCCATAAACCCTAAAATCTTAAAAACAACTTATTTGTTAAAAAAGAAAAGGATATTATTTTTCCATAATATAAAATGTTGGTAAGTCAGTACAAATTAATACAGATAACCATATGAGGATATTATAAATACGGAAGCCATTATTAGGCAATTTATCATGACTGAACTTTTGTAGTAGCCTTTGTGACTGACTTACAAATGCTCTCGTCTTTATCTCAAAAATGTTGATAAGCTAAGAAACTTTTTCGTTAAACTTACTGCGAGGTTAGATTTTAGTTTTGCTCCTTTTGACTATATAATCTATATATTTTCATAGATATATAATCTAATATAGTAGATTATGAGATTGAGAGAGAGGATCGATGTAAGAGATGAGTAACAAAAGTGAAAACATGCATGTGGATGCATGCTTACTTACAACTTTACTTTTTCCCTTCTCCATCAATATCTTTCATGAATATTAATATATATATATAATGATCAGAACTACTACTAGGATGGCGACCAACAAGTAAGATGTTCGAGGAAATGCAAAATCAAAAATTACTATCGAAACTGACTGATTTGCTGGTCAAGGAGTATTCATGGGCGGGGGAGTACAGTGATTCACCAAACATAAGGAATACCTTTTGTCTGTTGTGTTCAAACAAACAGGTGGAAGAAGATTCTGATTGTGGTTGCCACGACGGAGGGGAAACCAGTAAATCTATTTACAAGTATACCCCATTGCTTACAGCAACATGTACCGGAATATTACAAATTGTGGAAAAGATTATCAACTTTAACCCTCAAGCGATTGAGGCTCGTGATATTGAAACTCGAGAAAACATTTTGCACGTGGCCATTAAGCATCGTCAGTTGGCCATCTTCAAGTTCGTAAGAAAGGAGAAAACAATAACGTCAAGGTTGGCTTACGGGATTGATAGTGATGGGAACAGCATATTGCACCACGCTGCAGATATGAAGTTTTACACTGTAGACGCTCAACACGTAAGCGGTCCTGCATTTCAATTGCAAGAAGAATTGTTTTGGATGGCGGTGAGTGAGTTTTACATATACGCCTAATTCCTTAATTTTAATAATTATCTTCCAACATTACAAAGAGAAATATAACTAATTATAAATCTATTGTTTACTTGATCAAAATGGTTCATCATCCTCAACAATTTTTCCATTTGTGGCCAGCGTGTGGAAAAGATAATGCCACGTCATTACGCCATGCACCAGAACAATCAGGGTGTGACAGCGAAGGAGCTCTTCGAAAGTAAGCATTCAAGTCTTCTTGCGTCGGCAAAAGGATGGATAAAAGAGACAGCTCAGTCGTGCTCGACCGTGGCAGCTTTGGTGGCCACCGTTGCCTATGCAGCTGCCTTTACGGTTCCCGGGGGTAATGATAAAAGAGGGGTTCCTGTTCTCGGTCATTCTCCTTTCTTTATCACATTCGCCATTTCGGACACTATCTCGCTCATCTGCTCATTGACTTCTTTGGGCACGTTTCTCTCTATCCTGACGTCCCCGTTTGAGTACGAAAACTTTCACTGTTCTCTTCCCTTCAGGCTGCATTTAGGATTCGCCCTTCTCTTCTTCTCGCTGGTAGCCACCATGTTCACCTTCACTGCTACTCTTGTGCTCTTGATTCATCATCAAAAGATGTGGACAACGTCCCTCATTTATGTGGTTGCCCTTCTTCCTGTCTCTGTGTTTGGGCTCTCGCAGTTTCCTTTGTATGACGGATTTCGCAAAAGTTTGAAATACATTTCAAAGAAAATAATGAAGCCGACTATATCTTTAATTCGTGATGTGTTTGTAAATTTGAAATTGTTTATTGAAAGTATTTTAAATTTGAAATTCTGTATTCGGCGTTTGCCAGGGTAAAGTCTGTTATTGAGTGATATGATTTGTGACCTCTATGTTATTGCTATAGCTCAAAAGGTCAGAATAAGAGTGTGCTGCTATAGCACTCAGTTAGGGTCCCTCTTCTTCTTCCTTTGTGCGTGAGTGTTTTTTGTTTTTCCTCCTTTTATGTATGTTTCAGAAGAAGTTAACATCTTCGAAATAAACTAGTGTGTATCACGCTTGTTATGAGATTTTTCCTTTATTTGTAATGATCTGGGTTTAAAAATATTCTCTTTTTTTTTTATGGTTCATCACTCATTTATTGAACTATAAAGTAGAGGATGATTTTTTTGGACTGTGGATACTCCCAGCTCCCTTTTCAATTAGCTTCAAATTAAACTTTAGATATGATTTCCATTTCATTTGACCAATACGATTATTCCAAAAAACATTTATTAAACCCTTTAATACCGAATAATTAACTTACATAATGCATAGGCCCTACCTTCTTTTTTTTCCATTTAGCACCAATAACCTTCATTGTAATAAGACACGTTATGTGCATAGCATAGGAGAAAAGAGCTTTATCTTCTCAAAAAATAGAAAAACCCATATGATTTCCAATCTTCGTAACCTTCTCCATTCTCTCTGTGGACCTTTGAGTGAAGGGATCGTGGTCGATGTAATGAATATAATAGTCAAGTTTGTCAGCAAGAGGCTTGTAACTTAAGTGGTTAAGAGCAGTTACCCCTACACTCGAGATCATGTGTTCAAATCTCCCCTCCCCAATATCACTTATATCATAAAAAATAAATTAAAACTAGTCAAGTCCGCTACAGTGCGGATGCTGTTTTTTTTTTTGGGTCAAAATGGGGGGTGTGAGTATGATTATGGTTGGGACTCACCATTAATAAAGAAATCTGAAGCAGAATGTGTGTTATTTTTTTCACTTATGGAAATTCAAGCTCTACATAGAGCTTCATCTTCCTGGTGCTTCCAATTGGAACCCCTTTGGGATGGTTTTGGAGCCATATTCAAAGGAAATGAAAAAAAGAATGAAAATTAAAATAAATTTGAAAAAACTTTGACAGTTAAATAGAAAGAAATTGATTTTGTGTGGATTAATTCACAAATGGATTGGTATTTCATATTTATAGAGTTTGGGGTGTAATTTGGGATTGAATATGGTTTTTATTTTTTTATTTTTTTTATTTTTTTTAACCGTTGGATTTAAATTTGGATCGTTGAATTTTTTTTACCATTAAAACCATCACAATTAAATATCTGTCGTTTGTTTGATTTGAAAAAACAAAAAATGGGATTTGAAGTAAACCGTTGGATCTCAATGGTTTGTTTATCTTGACCGCACGCGCCTCAGGTGCACAGATAGGAAACAGCGGCGCGCCACAACTGATCCTTCCGGTTCCGAAAACCAACAAACAAAACTTGCTGTTCCGCCTTTTGCTTCATGGGTCCAAACTTTTTCAGCCCCATCTGGAATATCTCATCTCATACCAAATCCTAGCTTGATTGATGCTACCAAGTCTAGACTGTTATTTTCAAAGCATATAACAAAACAAGTCTTAACAAAAGATAGAGAAATGGGAAAATAGAAAGAAAAAAGAAAAACAATTGAAAAAAAAAGAGGGAGAGAGGCCCTCGTCCGATGTGCACTTTTCTTGTTCCGCACATGCAGTCTAGCATGAGTTGTAACAGTGACATCATACAACAACCACAATCTATATGAAAGGCCTAGAAAGAATTACCAACTACACTTTCTATTTCTTGCCATAATTTCTCTCCTCTATTCACATGCTAATTTGGTGTCAAAGCTGCTCAAGCAGATAGCAAAGGCCTGAAATGCAGACAAAGGATACCGGTAATCCATGGTAAACATATCCTTGCCAACTTTACCAAACTGAAGTATGATCTTGTCATGGTCAGATTGGGTTGGCTGCGGTGGTTGTGAGGGTGTTGGTGCACCAGCAACTGACTGTGTAGCTGCTATCAACTGAAAGTTCTTGACAGAGGCAACTGTTACCCTTCCACGGAAGTTAAGGCACCAACACTGCAACTGTTCATGCCATCTCGGTGCCTTGTTCCGAAGAATCAATGGTCTCTCCTTTCCTTCATCTTCATAATGGGACCCGACTATATCAGAGAATCGAGCACTGCTAAACTCAGTTGAATTATCAATTGATTTTGAGAAGGATATGCTCCGGAATGAGTCCTCAAGGGAGCGCTGGAGAAGCTCAGGCTGGCCAGGGACAATGCCACCAGGCTCAAGGGATGCGGCAGGGATTGAGTGCATGTTGCAGTGCATCCTGCGTGGCCCCCGAGTGCCAAGTACATTTAACTCATATGTCACCTGAGCGATGTTGTAGCTGCCAGTAGGAACCTTGGGAGAGACCTTTTTAGAGTAAAACCGACGGCTTTGGCCAGGTGGGTAAAGCTGAGCGCTGTTGTAGGGAGGCTGGGTATCATAAATAATGAATTTGGTGCCTAGAAAATTAGACCTGAAAATGATGCACGTTAAACCAAACCAGATAGAAACTGCTTCAGGCCCATCAATAACAAAAATGAAGGGAAAGTAATATCCTAATACAATTATTATTACTATTGCATGTCTGCAAAGTGACAGACCAAGTTGGTTCAGAAGTGTGACAATGGATGTAAAGTCTACTGATTAAAGATATATACGTGTGTGAGTGAGTGTGTGTATTATAAGTAAATAGAAGATAATCTTATATCCTTGCACCAAAACAATTCACAACAAAGGGACTGTCACCAGTTATTCAACCATGGTCATAATGCCTCATAAAGTCAGTATTTCATACATGTTCAAATTACGGATATAGCAATGGAAGTTCCAATGCAGCCAAAGCAACTGAAATAGAGAGATAACACATAAAAGTACAATACTAACCCACAATATCACCAATATCCCTGGATTTTTTTCAAGAAGAGAAGGGAATTTATACGTATAAAAAACAATTAATATGCACCTTAAAATTCTTTAAAATAATATCAGTTGCAAAAGAAATACTTCTTGTAGGAGTGCTTACTGCAAAACCAAGGCTAAGAATGTAAAGTCACCATAACGAATCCCCATTAGCCCATATCATTAATCCATGGCCAATGGACAGCAGATGCAAAAGACAAGAAAAATATTTTTCATTCAGCCTTGATCCCTAAGTGCGCACAATGAGTTTTCAACATGCTCAATATTCCAGTTCCAGTTTTGTAACTTTCAGAAAAGAAAAGAAAAAGATTGTACAATGACACATTTTTCAAGTTCTTAAGTTGCATATTTCACTGCCTTATCTGAAGTTACTAACATATGAATTTCAGCATAGAATAGAACAGCTGAAAAAGGAAGTTCAACAAGAATCACCTCAATTTCCCAATGTAGGTGTTGCTTGATCTTGATATGTTATCAGCATCCATTGAGATCACATACTCTGTGCAAGTAGTTCTGCGCGTTCGCTTGGCAGAAAGAAGAAATTTCCCATTTTCAACAAGTAAGGCTGCAAAGGCATGGAATTGATCAACAGAACATCCTAAAATAGACTTGCAAGCAATAATGCAATCAACAGAAAATTGCTTGCTAGAAAACGAAGCAAATTATTTACTGCACAATATGTTCGTCTATAAAGTTCAAGGTCGATTTAAAATTACACAACCCCTCTTTATATGAGTTATTGCAATACAATCCCTTTATATAACTGAGGCTAAGTAGGGTCCGCATACAATCCCTATGATCTTGACATAGGGAGAAGATGATAATTCTTATGCAGTATAGAGTGAGAGATGTACACTATTTATAACATTTAGACAGCAAATCAACCAATTAGTAATAGAACTTAGCTAAATCAAATTCTGGTAATCAGCATTAAAATAAAGTTTTGAACTTTAACACTTGCTAATAGCCTCTATTATCAACAGAAACCAAATTCCCTGATACAGGACAGCATGATTGATGGAACCCAATGATAACGTCTGAGTCAGGTAAGGCTAGGCCTCTCCGACTCAGCCGGGCTCTAGAGCCTTGAATGCACTAGTCCTCGGAAAATGGTACAACAGCAGACTAAAAAAACACAGCATGAGAAGAGATCATTATAAGTGGATACAATACACCAAATAGGTTGTTTGGAATCCATAGAGAACGAAAGTACGAAATTAAAGTTGACCCAACTAGCCTATATAGTTAGATCTGAAATTATCCCTTAGATATATCAGTAGGTTGACATACATTATTGGTCAATTCTCTAACAGCTTCAGTTTTGGGGGTCCAATGGTTGACTAACATGGTATCAGAGCTCTAATTGTCGGAAACCTTGAGTTCCAAACTTCCAATCGACATTTCTCACTCATTAACTTGCAAGGTGCAGGGAGGGGCTGAACTTATATGCTTCTCTTTATTTGTACTTTTCTACCTCTTTATGTGGAGGACTGCACTTCAAGAAGGATGTCAACTAGATATATGTTGATGGTCCATTCACTAACTTGAACTTCTCAAGTCCAGTGGTTGTGTAAAATGAACCATACTCTGCTTGCCAAACAACTCCTCTAAGATACTGAATCAGGTTACATTCAACGAAGCAGGAATTTTACAACTTTGCACAATGCTGTCCTCTACTATGAGTTATTTGAACATAGAATTTCAGTTTTTAAAGAGAAGGGTTAGATCATCACAATCAGCAGCATCAGTTTTACAAAACAATCATTTAGTGTCTTCCCGATGATATTATCTACCTATGTTAGGACATGAACAATTTGTCTAAGGTATAGTGCCTAGATTTAGCATCCACTGTCAAAAGGATGCTCTTAGCAATAGAAAGTTCCAAATGGGTATTGCCTATATGTTATTGGTCTTATTAGAGATTGTGTAGTCATAGCACAGATCAATGGATCAGTTAGTATTATTTACAAATTAGTTTCCATGCCAGATTCTGATAAACATGATGGTATATTGACCAAAGGTTGAGTTAATTAAATACTGATTAACAAGAAACCAATATTATTCGCAATAATACACAAACTTTTCAACTAAGTTGAACACAACAAATGTTTTAGTAAGTTGATCATAACTATATTGTGAAATCCCAACAAACCACATAACCTTAAATCTCACATTTAACTTGGTAAAGCATTAGTTCCAACAAAACTGTCT